AACAAATCCTTTGTTGCGGAGACCTACTTTGCATTAATCATCATATTATCTTTTGTGATGTATCCCACACTCTGCGTTGGGGTCCTGCACACGCACAAAGAGCGAGGGCCAGGTGTGTGCTTCAATTCAAATGCACCTGTGTCCAACCACCCCGCCCACGCCCACCTCAAGATTGGGGAGGCGCGCCAAAGCGCAGCTCCTCCAGCGACGCCACCTCATTTTTCCGAAGGTACAGCTCCCGCAGCGCGTGGCAGCGGCCAAACGAGCGCAGGCCTGAGATGCGGTTGATGCTGAGGCTCAGCACCTCCACATTTGGGAGGCGCCATAGGACGGTGACGTCAGCAATGTCCTGCCCCCACCTGCGGCGGCAGACATATTTTAGACGTGCCAATAGGTTTGGTGTGATAAATCAACGTCCGTACTGCATTGCATTGTACAAAAGTGACAGGCAGTTTGTATGCAGGGCTTGACGCACAGTCAGCTGGATGTGCATCAGCTGGAGAGCTTCAGGTGTAGGGCGCGTATGTGCTCACAAATTCAGGCTCCTGATCTGCGCCATGTCATCCAGCTTTGTCTTGGCCCGTACCATGGCCTCTGTCAGCACAACCATGGCCGCTGCTAGCGCGGGGGTGCCGCCTCGCAGCACTGGCGGTGTGGTCGACGCTTGGTCAAACCATGGCCGTGCTTTCCAGACAGCTACGATCAGGCCGCAATCCTCCACTGGATATCGATACAATCAAAATCAAAGAGCCAGTCCTGCCAGGGTGCAAGCCTGTTGCAAGTCGTCGGCTGGATTTGCACTCAATGCACGCGCAGCGGCAGCAGCGATGTGCGTGAGGTGCGCAAAGATGTATGATACGTTGTCTCACAGCTGATCTCGTATATAGACATTTTGTTTGCCACGTGACGCCTGTTCATATTATAAATCGGTGGACTCGTTGCATTTTCAGCAGGCGTGCAGCTTCTGCCTTGTGTCGAGGGTGCATCACCACATCGACAAGCTGGAGCGCAGGTCCATAGAGGATCACAAAGAGTTTTGGCAACTTGCGTTTCCAAGACCCGTAGCCCTCGATAGCCGCGGCATTCGTGATCTGGGGCACTCGCGTCGTCCAGTCCCGCTTGCATAGGTGCGGGAGCAGCTGCGAATAATATGAATGATACAATAATGGAAGTAATGGCCATGCGATGATGGGCTCGGGGGTGCAGAGGAGGAGCAGTGCTGAACTGCGGCAGAGCGCTGTGCCTTGCGCACCAGCAACAGACACGGATGCACAAGCGCAGGGGCATGGCCATGCCTGAGTTGAGCAAGCTGACAGCTTATTCCGCGAGGCAGCTTAGCTGCTGTACTGCCGGGTTGCCAGCAGCGGGTGAAGGTCAAATCCGAGGAGCCACCCACAGCCCTGCGCACATCGGGCCCGCGATGCCCCTGCCCCGGCGTTCGCAGAAGGGCCCCCACCCGGGCGCTCACCGCAGAGGCGGCAGCAGCAGCGATGGGGGCCACCGACGACTATGTCGAGGAGAAGGATGCGCCGATCAAGGCGCTGGACGAGACCGACATCGCTTTCCTCAAAAACTATGGCCTTGGCCCCTATGCCGCCCCCATCAAGAAGGTGCGCTCACACCGACCCGCCCCTGCCGGTTCCGCATGCGTACGTGGTGCGTCCATGCCTGGGGGCAATTGCATTGGACCAGGTCGCCAGCAGCGTCGGCCGCGCCCACCCCGCAATACATCTAATGCCCGGCAGGTGCAGCATGCACAAGAGCACCATGGCAGCACCCCGTGCAGCTCGATCATGCAATGTTCCAATTGAAACGGCCTGGACCAACGTCCCCTGCAGGTGGAGGAGGACATCAAGTCTATCATGAAGAAGGTCAACGACGTGTCGGGCATCAAGGAGAGCGACACCGGCCTCGCGCCGCCCAGCCGCTGGGACCTCGTGTCGGACAAGCAGATGATGCAGGAGGAGCAGCCGCTGCAGGTCGCGCGCTGCACCAAGATCATCAACCCCAACACCGACGAGGCAAAGTACGTCATCAACGTAAAGCAGATCGCGAAGTTCGTGGTCGGGCTGGGGGACAAGGTGGCGCCAACGGACATTGAGGAGGGGATGCGGGTGGGCGTCGACCGCAACAAGTACCAGATCCAGATCCCGCTGCCCCCCAAGATCGACCCCAGCGTGACCATGATGACGGTGGAAGAGAAGCCCGACGTCACGTACAGCGACATTGGCGGCAGCAAGGAGCAGATAGAGAAGATGCGCGAGGTGGTGGAGCTGCCGCTGCTGCACCCGGAGAAGTTTGTGCAGCTGGGGATTGACCCGCCCAAGGGCGTGCTGTGCTACGGGCCGCCAGGTGGGGATGTGCGTGTGTCCGGTGTGACATGTGCTGAGGGTGGACCTGGATATGCGCATGCGCGCGCGTGCGGGCAGGTCATGTTTGGGGAACGGGAGTTACGTCAGCTGGAGGCCGCCACGCGGCGCGAAGTGCTAGGCGCGTGCCCAGTCTTTTTATGTTTCGGCAACGGCTTAAGGCTATGCATGTTCCTGCTGCAGCATTCGCGTGCAACCACGTGCAAGCAAGCTGGTAGCGAACGCCAGCAAGCCAAGCTGCAGCCACATGGCACATTGGCCCCAGCCAGTCCCTCAGCCCCTCCGCCACATGCGCGCCCCCTCCCTGCAGGTACGGGCAAGACGCTCCTGGCGCGCGCCGTGGCCAACCGCACCGACGCGTGCTTCATCCGCGTCATCGGCAGCGAGCTGGTTCAGAAGTATGTGGGGGAGGTGAGCCACCTGGCTGGGGCTTGGTGCTGCAGGCGTGGACGATGGCGCCCAGGTTCAGGTTGTGGTTGGCTGTTCAGCGCTTACCTGGATTGGTGTGGCGAATCATCAGGATTTGATGGGAAAGCCCAAGGTGGCTGCAGAATCAACAGCGAATGTTGTTAAATGCGTTGGGGCGCTGCATCATACCAGCAACGTGGCATCACAGCACTCAAAACCTTGTTGCGGGCAGCATCCAGGCCGCACTGTCGTGGGCTTTTTGGACAGCCTTGCACGCTCTTACGGTCTTGCTTTGTATCGACTGTTCCCTTGGCCACTGTTCCCTTGGCCACGGTTCCATTGACCAAAGCGACAACGTGCCCGCTGGCCGCCCTTTGCGCCTCTGTCAAACTCCCGTCTTACCCTCTTACTGGCTTCAAACCCGGCGAACACCCCCAATCCCAGCCAGCCCCAGACCCCAAATCACTAACCCCACCACGCCCCACAACCCGTCAGGGTGCGCGCATGGTGCGCGAGCTGTTCCAGATGGCGCGGTCCAAGAAGGCTTGCATCATCTTCTTCGATGAGGTGCGACGCCGCCCCCCGCTGCTGCCATGTCCAACAGCTGCCGTTCTGGGGGTTGCGGTGCGACCATTGTCCCTGGCTGGGTGGCGCTGCGTGAGGCAGGCCGCCTCTGAGGCCCCCTCGACATGCCCGCGGCCCTGAACACGCCTGATGCAGGTGGATGCCATCGGCGGCGCGCGCCACGACGACGGCGCGGGCGGCGACAACGAGGTGCAGCGGACGATGCTTGAGATCGTGAACCAGCTGGACGGCTTCGACTCGCGCGGCAACATCAAGGTGGGCGCCCCGGGGGTGCTGGTCCGGTCCGCCCCCGGCGGTGCACTCTGCGGTTTCCTTGGGGCTTGGCCCCCCTGGAGTGGTGGTGTCGCAGGTGTAGCGTTTTGTTTCACTGCGGAGGGCTGCCTGGCTTGAAAGGACCTGTGCCGTCAACTCAGCCACGCCCTCCACCACACACACCCGCCAGTCCCACCACTCAACACGAACTTCATTTCGAATCTCGTCCTCTGCTGCCGCCAGGTGCTGATGGCGACCAATCGCCCAGACACGCTGGACCCCGCGCTGCTGCGCCCCGGCCGCCTGGACCGCAAGGTCGAGTTCGGCCTGCCAGACCTGGAGAGCCGCACCCAGATCTTCCAGATCCACACGCGCGCGATGGCGTGCGAGCGGGACGTGCGGTTCGAGCTGCTGGGGCGGCTGTGCCCCAACAGCACGGGCGCGGACATCCGGAGCGTGTGCACCGAGGCGGTGGGTCTCGTGTGGCCTGGTCCGCGGGCTGGGGCGGATTTGTCAGCTGGCAAGTTTTTGCTGTGCACTGTGCTGTGTCGTCTGCAGCACAGTGCATCGGCAGGCGGTCATGGAGTATGCCTCCCCGCCCCTTACCCTGCACTCTTGGCTGCTCAACTGCAACACTCTGGCACGCAACTGAATCGCCAGCATGCACGCGTGGAACCTTTGACGCACCCCCAGGGCATGTTTGCGATCCGGGCGCGCCGCAAGACGGTGACTGAGAAGGACTTCCTTGACGCCGTCAACAAGGTCATCAAGGGCTACCAGAAGTTTAGCGCCACGCCCAAGTACATGGTGTACAATTAGGAGGGCGGTTGCTGGGGGAGGAAGGGCGGCGGCCGTGCGCCGGCCGCAGGCGTCGCCTGCGGGCGGCCTGGCCCTGGGCGCGCGAGGAGTGCGCGTTGGGGGCGCCACGGGTCCTTGCGATGTGACTGCGGGGGCGCGGGCCCCTGCTGGAAAATGCAGGAGTTGCCACGCAATCAGTAAATGCAGCGATTGAAGGTGATTGCTGTGGCCGACCAATTAAGGGAGGGGACAGCAGGCCGAATGGCTGCTGTGGCATCGGTGGCCTTCAGAAACAGAATCACCCTCGTCATAGCAGGCGCCAGATGCATTGCAGCGTCACGTGGACAGGCTGAAAGACACAACAATCCATAGCTCCATGCTTCTGCGTCGCCACGATGGCGCAGGCGGCCTGATCGCCCCCGCCACACGCCCGCCTTTCCTACGCTGTGGATGCGGAGGCTAAGAAAGTGCGCGGCACAGAGCGCACAGTCGGACACATTGTTTGTTGGCCTCTGCATCAACCCAGTAATTCTTTTATATTATCTGAAACATAGGACTTTGTTGTGCTTTTCGCCGCCTCCTTTTCCTGTCAAACCATCACAATGATCGCCAGCCGTGCCTCCAACATGCGCGTGGCCCACAGGGCCCGCAGCTGCAGCATTGTCTGCAAGATGTCTTCGACGGATCGCATCAAAGCAGTTGCAGCGTCCGTCGCCACCACTGCAGGCGCGTAACGGCGGCGGGTGCAGGAAACGTCTGGAGAGCACCACGTCCGCCGCTTTCGGCGCCTTGCTGCTGGGCCCGCCTTCACCCAATCCACGGTCAGGCTGCAGGAGCCCCGCATGAGGCCGTTTCCAATGCATGCGCACGCCAATGGGCCCTCGCATGAGCCGCCTCCGCCGCCACCGCCGCCGCCGCTGCACACCTCGCCCCTCGCAGCGCTCCTGGCGGCACCCGCGCCTTCTCTGGCTAGCGTGACGTTCTTGAACGTGGACAACGGCGCGACCGTGTCCTCGCCAGTGCACCTGGAGCTGGCCGTCAAGGGCTACGACGTTTGGCCTGCTAGTGGGTGCCCGGCCCAACCACTGCGCCTGGCAGCCGACCACATTGCATGCACCCCCATGCGACGGCATGGAGCGGCCTGGGTGCTGCTTGGTTCCAGGCGCATTCATGTGTTGCTGACATGAACGATTTTGTTCTCCCAACCCTGTTGTCCCATGACCGCTGCTCTTACAATGTGACTCATCCCTAGGCGAGGGCGTGGTGCCTGGCACCGGCCACTTCCACGTGATCGTGGACCGCGCCAGCTCCGAGAAACTGGAGGAGGGTGACGTCATCCCCTTTGACGCGACACACCTGCACTACGGGAAGGGGCAGGTGCGCCGCCGTCGCTGCCGCCCCTGCCTTCGCCAGTCGCGGGCGCCGGGCACTGCGCGGGGCGCCCGGACTTGCGTGCGTTCCGCCGCAAGGCAGGCGATGCAACAGCCCTCACCGCATATGGTTTCGATTGCAGGTAGCTGTGTCCAACCACGTGCCTGATGGCGCCGGTTGATGCGGGAGTCTGGCTGCTTTACCGTCGCACCTCGGGGCTGCACTGTAATCGACCTCTGCTCACTGCGCTGGACCACATCCAACACATGCTGCCCCTTTGCAGGTTTCTGTGGATGTCCCCTTGACCCCGGGCAAGCACACACTCACTCTGCAGTTCGCCAACGCGCTGCGTGAGTCACAACCGTCAGCCCTGATTTTAGGGGTTTGTTGCGGCTGACCGAGCATGTGGCCACACTGTGATTCTTGGTTGCTCATTTGCTGCAGCAGGGCGAGCGCCGCGTGTGTCATCACGGCCGCCCTCGCAGGTGTCGCTCGCCATTCAAAAGCAGGCCTGAAACCTGCCTGCATCAAACCCTCCATAATTGCAGATGAGAGCTACGGCGAGGCGGAGCGTGAAGACATCTCCATCACTGTTCAGTGAAATCCAATTTCAACTCAGCGACGCAGCTTTGCGCCTCCAATCCAACACCAATTTGCGACTCAGCACCGCTGTGCCTGACTTGACGCCTGGGCGGATGCCGTATTCGACCACCTGGCACAAAATTTTCAGCGCCGACCTGCGTGTTGGCGCGTGTGCGGAGCAACCTTTGCCATGGGGTGGGTCACCTGTGTCATCTCATCTGGTCAGCGCGACACAGCTGTGCCCCATGATGGCGCCCCCAGGTGCAGCAACACCCTGCAGTGTATTTTGAGCCTCAAGGAACCTGTGATTGCTCTCTGTAACAAAGTATGAGGTCTTATTACCGCAATGCTGTCATTCAACTGGGTGGCCTGGTGAAAGGCCGCCCTCCATGCGCTGCTTGTCCGCTCGAGTCACAGGCAGCCCTGCTGATAGGCTCATTGCAGTGTGTTCTTGTTAGGGATTTTATCGCTCTATTATAGGTGTTTTACACCTTTGCTGAAATGCGCTCCTTCCGCACAGCCCTTCCCGCCCGGTGTGACCAGGCCCACCCAGCAGGGTGAACATGTGTGTGCACTTCACCGCTGGCACCAGCAAAACAGCCACTTCCCAACCCGCTGGCACGCGCTGCCGGGGCCTTTCTGTGAACTACTCGCTTTGATTCTCGTGTTTATTGGTCTCGGGCGACTTCGCACCCGCTGCTAAGCACGGGCCAGGGGGCACAGCTCCACAGCGGGGCGCTTGGGAGCAATGGAGCGCAGGAGCTCTCACTCAAGTGGTATGGACACAAATGAGCTGGTTCGACAGACCCTGGAGCTCGTGAGTGTGATCTACGGACGTTTGGGTGTTTGCACACGGGCTGGCCTAATGCGCGACCACGGTGGCTCGGGCGCAGCGCTTCGAGATGCGATCCGAGCCAGTTATGGAGGTCACCCGCGCTGTGAGCCTGCCTGCACCTGACGGCGTGCTGCACCTGTGCTGCTGCGTGGCCCGGGCACACGGCAGGTGGAGGGAATGGAGCATTTGAAAGAGGACGCCCGCAGGCTCTACAGGTAATCATTGGCAGGGTGCGTGGGTACAGGCAAGGCGCGACATGCAGCCGCTGCACATGGCCACCGCGGCGCACGCTGCAACCGCCATGCGCTGCGAGGCGGCCGCACGCTTATCGGAGCTGCACGTTCACTGCAGGTACATGAAGCGGACAGAGGTGCTGGTGTCAGACCTGCGGGTGAGGTCTTGCGCAACGTGCTGCGCTTTGCTTGCACTAGACCATGATAGCCAATCCCGTTGGCTGCACCATGTGCATCTCTGCCCCTGTCCGCCCTTCATGCCGTCCGCGATGCCTCCCATGCATCGGGCCCCATGCACGCCGCGCACGCTGCCGCCCACTGTATTGCGCCTTGAAACTCCGCCCGCCCCGCGCACTTGCCCAACGCCGGCCAACCCCGCTGTATCTCCTCACCTGTCGCACCTCGGCAGCCGTATGCGTCGACAAGGGACCCGGCGCTCTCTGCGGCGCTGGGCCACGTTGAGGCGGAGCTAAGCGCAGTGAAGTACATGCTGGAGGACTGTGCAGCAAAGGGCAAGGTGGCAGCATTCATGCAGGTGAACAGTTCAGCTTGTGCATCAGTGTGTTGTGTCATGGCCGGGGTGAGGGTTCTGGATGGGTGTTCCCAGTTGTATGTGTGCGGGTGTGGATGTCAGTAGGTAGCAGCGCACGTGCAAAGCTAAAGGAACGAACGTGGCTGTATACAGACGCTCTGTATGAGGGCCCTGCCCTGAAAATGGACAGTTGCGTAGGGCTTTGCAAGCGGTGTTACAGGCCGATCAGGTGGACTGCTGAGCAGCCATTGGAGCAGGGCGGAAGCAGCATGCAGCCACGCGGCGCAGCGAGCATGCGCACGCGTTGAGAAACACGTCCGCCATGGGCCTCCTGGTGTGTGTTCCAGCCACACCTGCACCACAAACCTACCAGCGTTGCGGACAAAGCAGCCGTCATCACCCAACAATCGGTCCACGCACACAGCCTTCGCAACGCACCGCACCCTCTGTGCGCCCCGCGCAGCAGCCAGGTCTGCCTCAAACAACCGCACCTGTGCTACTCAACCCCTGCAGGCAGACCATATGCTGGCCGGCTTCTCAGCTGCAGTGGCGCGCATCGACATGGCCCTCGGGGAGCTGCCGCCCAAGGCGCTGTCGCACCTGCCCGACACCGCCGACGACGTGATGGGCCTCCGCGCCATCCTGCAGCGCACCACTTTTGCGCTGCCAGAGGCGCACCTGCAGCTGCTGGCCAGCTTCAGGGCGGCGTGCGATGGGGTGAAGGCGTACGCGGCAGACTTGGAGGAGAAGTGCAAGGATATCCTGCAGGCGGTGGGTGGGGGTTTTGGGGTTGTGTGATGCCAGGGTCCTTTATCAAGGCCTGGAGTCATTGGCGGGGTACGTTGCTGGGGTGCAGGCCAGCGCAAGTGGCAGGGTCCTGCATTGCGGGGCGTGGCGCCGCTACTGCATGCAGGGGCCGGAAGTGCCGGGTGCAGCCACCTCTGCGTGGCGAAGCCTTCCGCAGAGTTGCGCCCTTGAGCCTCGCCCCAAGTGAGGCTCGTGGTGGCCATGGATTAAAATTGTGACAAGATGCCATGGCCATGGCAAACATGATTGCTGTTCCAGGTCAACGGCGAGCGCGCGCTTAACAAATCGGAGTACGCCGCCGCCGTCGGCGACCTCCACCGCGAGATCCGCACCCAGCGCGCCTACGCCATCGCCGCCGTCGTCGACTCAGCCAACGCCTCCGCGGCCTTCGCTGCCGCCGCCGCCGCGGAGGGCGCCGCGGGCGACCCCGCCGCCGTCGCTGCCGCTGCGGCGGCGATGGCGGCGGCGCGGGACCCGAACGAGGCGTATGGGGACCACGCTGAGCTGTCGGCCTATTACCTAAGGGTGCTTCTTGACGTCATCAGGGTGGCGCATGACGTGGAGGATGAGGCGGTGCCCCTGGAGTACTTGTGCCCCCTCTCTACCCTCATCATGCACGTGAGGACCAATGTGCACGCACGCGTTCGTATCTATGTGCAGACCTGTGCGCGTATGCATGTGTTTTGTTTGTGTTGGGGGAGAGCTGGTGTGGGGTGCTTGCACACCCGGCAAGGCGGCCATGCGTTGGAAGCATGTGCGAGGGTCTCAAACAGATCCAGCGGGCCCACACGGGATCTGGATCGGCCATGCCGCAACGGATTGGGGCGCGACAGCTTGTCTGTGCACGGGCCCAAACCGACAACTCCTGCCCCTCACCGCCGCCCACCAACCCGTTCCTCCCATCCCTGTCCCCTGGCCGCAGGACCCGGTGGTGCTGCTGGAGAGCGGCCACAGCTTCGAGCGGCAGGCGCTGCTGGACTGGTGGGCCAACGGCCACCGCATGTGCCCCAAGACGGGTGGGTGCGTGTGTGCACCGCCTGGGTGCACCAGCGCGCTGGTGGCGGGTGCCATGGCAAGGCAGACTGCGCGCGGGGAGATCAAGCATTGGGGCCAGCCATTTGTCTGGGGCCACAGGAACGCACGGCGCCAACCACTGGTCACCGGCGGACGGGGCGCACGGAGCTCGATGAAGCTGGTTGTTCCTGAATTGTGACGGGCCACCTCATGTTGACTGCGTGCGCCCCTCCCCTTGTATTGGCATCCCCCCCTTACTCGTGGTGTCTCAGGCATCCCTCTGAAGGCCGGGAAGCTGATGATCGCACCCAACGTGCAGCTCAAGGAGGCCATACACCGGTGGGCGAGGCCAGGGGGCTCAGCTTGGCGGGACCAATCGCGCGGGGTCTTTCTATGCAGCAGCAGCCCAAGGAATAAGGGGCTTCGGGGTTGCACGCGGTGTGCGAGGCGCTTCTGCGGCAACGCATCTGCAGCCACGCAAGCCCCGTCGCGCTGCACACTGGAAGGCCATTGCGATGCGAACAGCAGCGATTGGTGGCTGTGGATGAGTGGCTGGTTGAAGATACCTGTTGATGTGGCTTTATTGCCATGGCCCAACATTTTACCCCGGAATCCATCTCGAATGTGTGCTAGTCCCACAACACAACATCTCACTGAGACGTTCGTTGTCGGGCGCCGTAGTCAGGCAACCTCCCAAATCGGACCGCCGCAGCTCCCCTCGGCCCACGTGCGACCCCCCCCCCCCC